ACAATCTCAAAGCTAACCATCCTTTCGCAACTAGGCGCAACGGCGTTCACATGACTCCGTTCTCTTTCAACGTTGACACGTTCTGAAGAGAATGGCAATGAGATTGAAGTATTTTTGTTTAGCAATGTATCTAAAGGAAGGCCGTCCATGGGTGGGCTCGAATCACCAACCGTTCGGTTAACAGCTAATCGGATGTGCGCCACAGCAAGTGCAGTTTTAAGTATTCTGTGGTGTCTGCAGCTGCCGCAAAACCATGGCGGTATTTCCATAACATGGCCGCTACGGCCAAACCTATGGCGACTGACTTTTTAGCTGCCACGAACCAATGTCGAACTGCCGTTACCGCGGCAGCAAATTGAAAACCAATGGCAGATAAAATTTTGCTGCCGTAACCGCGGCAGGTGGAATGTAAAGACAGGGCTGTCCTATATGTCCTATAGGCTTTACCCTATGGTGGCAAATATTGGGTAAGTTGGAACATTTTTCTTATGGATACAGTTTTGATAGATTTGTGGTTAGGGTTAGGGTTTAAGTAGATATAATTCCACATGATCAATTAAAATCTGGTACATTAATTTATGAATATACCGTTAATACTGATTACTGAATAGCGCTATAAAACCATGGCAAGAGCTGCCGCGGTTTGTTCGTGGCAGGAGCTGCCATGAAGTGGTAAGAACTGCGCCTCCGCCACAGAGACCACGGGAAGACTCCCTAGCACCGAATGTTTTAGGAAAATAATGATAAACGGCATTTACCTTCTAATTAACGAACGATATTTGCAGAGCAATTAGAAGCAGCGAGCAATCATATATAACCGATAATCGCCACCGATTAAAGATAACAAATGAGTGGTCTGATAAATTGGATTGCCAGTTCCGAGAAAAGCTTCCTGGGACCTCGACTAGTGATGCTTACTCATTTAACATGGGGGCCGGTAGTGTGGTAACCTTTTGAATTTTTTCTTCGATTTTGATGACGGTCTGGTCGCATCACTCCGTCCTGTCTATACCAAACTAATTTATTACTTGTTATTATTTTTATTTTTACGATGACTGTTATTTTATTTTGGTTGACGAAAAAATAAATCTCTCTCTCGGTAAAATTTTGTTAATGAAAATTTTCGCGTTGTCGTGTTTTGGAAGGAGGTTTCGACTCTTTCACGAAAGCACACTACGTTACAACTTACAGATGAATGTTGAGTAATTAAACTCGTGCAGAAAGGTAAAGTCCCGCATTTGGATTCATTTTTCATTGCGAGCGTTCATATGTACGAACGTACGGGTGTTAAGTCAGCTGGCGTTCGAGATTGCTATCTTTCGCATGCACTGATATACAAGGGTGCGAGTATACGAGAATGGAATGTGTAATAAGGCGATTTTGGCTTTCATGAAACATTTTCACGCATGTTGTCTACGTATTCATAACCATTCTTCAACAACTATAAGCAAGTAAGAATACGGCGTTTACTGGACTCCGTTCTTTTTTAATGTGACACGTTCTGATGGGAATGACAATGTGATGAGAGGAATAATTTTTTAGAAATGTAGGCTGGGTTGTGGCCTGCAGGGCGCCTGTTGCACACCCTCGTTTGACAATTAAACAATCGCTAGATTGTGAGTTTTTTTCACGACTAAGCACAAATACCCGGCGTTCACTGCCCTCCGTTCTTTTTCAATAATGACACGTTCTGAAAAGAACAGCAATTGGATTTTAGCAATGTACCTAAAATACGATCGTCCCTGGGTGGGCTCGAACCACCAACGTTTCGGTTAACAGCCGAACTTTTTTTTTTTTTTTTTTTTTTTTTTTTTTTTTTTTTTTTTTGTTTTTGCTTCTGTTTAATCTTCGATTCGTCACGTAATAAACAAAAAAAATAATTTATTTAAAAGAAATAATAGTTTAATCATATACTGGTAGAAAAGTCAGTCCATGGTAAAAGTAAGCAAACACTATTAGGGATTCGTAGTTAATTTACTGTTGATACAAAGTAATTAAATCAATGCGCAATAGAACACACCATACCGAGTACTACAAGTAGGCCTACAATATTTTATATAAAATGTATGTATGGGGCTGACATAGCAAGATATTAAATTAAATAGGGCGTTGATTTGAATAACTGGTGTATTTTAGTTAATTTTACGAATTTCTGAAAAAATGGACTTCGCTGTAACACCAACGTCTGGTTTGGCTATTGTTTTTTTTTTTTAATAGTCGTACCCAGCGAGTATTTCCTTCCAGTTTGGATTCAGGTCTGATGTGTAGGTGTGAGGGAACTTATGATCCAATTGTTCAATAAATTCCAACCATTTTAGAATTGTTTTTTGGATAATTTTGTCTTCATTTGGATCAACCATCTTATTCTCTATGTCTAATTTGATTTTGTGGTTGATGGTTATTAATTTGAATAATAGGAATAGTTTCGTGGTGATGATCTGATTGGACACGGTGTAGTGGTTATAAAATATATTTTCTTTGGATATTTGGGCTGGTGTTTTAAGTGCCAGGTTTAGTTTTTCAACGATTCTAGTGATGTGTCGAGTAATATATGTGCAGTGTAGGAATATGTGTTTTGTATTGTCTTGGCGGCTTCCACAGAACTTGCAGTTTAATAGCTTTTGTTTTCCATTTATGTCCCGGAGTATCGATCTTATGCGGGCTTTGTTTCCGAAGATGTATCCGTCCGTCACTATTCTGTATGAACATATTCTTTCCTTGTTTGTTAATTTATTCTTTAAGGATTTTTGCGTAGCGTGGACGTCGCTCCAGTCTATTCCAGGAGGTAGAGGTGACTCATTTTCCGGGTTGTGCAAAAGTTTTGCGTATATGTCCTTATGTTTTAAGGTAGCCCATTGTTGTTTTGTAAGGTCGAAATTTTTGGTCGGTTCTAGGTATTTCTTCCAAATTTGGGGGACGAAAGGAAGGTGGGGAGTCGAATTTGTGTATAGGTTTTGGTTGACTGTTTTGATTTTGGAGCCTAGTGCGTATATTGCCTCTTGGTGCCAAAATTGTTGTGGTGAGTCTATATTCTTTAACGCTATTGTTCTCTCAGCTATACATGCCAATATTTTCGTTTTGACGTGTGGCATATTTATGCCGCCTTCTAGCCATGGACGTTGTAAAGTACTTCTTTTGATGGCCACGATTTTTTCAGGAAACCATATGAAGTTGGCGATTTGCTGTTGTATTTTATTAAGGTGTACTGGCGGTATTTCTATAAATCTTGCGTGGAATATAATTTGGGACATTATTGCAGAATTTAGGACCATAAGTTTTCCAATCCAGGTGAGTTTTCGTGTTTTTAGAAAATTGAGTTTCCTGGTTATTTTTACGAGTGCTTCGTTCCATGTGTGAGCTTCACGTCCTTTCCCGTAGTAAATACCTAGTATTTTTGCCGTTTCCTTGTGGTATTCCTTGTGCGGGGATTTTAGAAGTTGTCGTTCTGCGCCCAAAGTGAGGCTTAGTATTTGAGTTTTATCTATATTTATTTTTTGACCCGCTGCTTTTTCGTACTTTTGGAGTTCAGAAAAAATTTGTTTAATCGACGTTATGTCTCGTACTGCGTATGTGGCGTCGTCGGCAAATTGGTCCAGTTTGTGTGTAAATTTTCCAAGTTTGATGCCATGTATGTCGGGATTAAGTTGGATCGATCGAATCAGGGGTTCCGCGTTCAAAATGTATAAGAGCATGCTGAGCGGGCAACCTTGCCGAATACCTCTATTAATTTTAATAGGGTAGCTCATTTTACCATTGATATCGATAATGTTGTATATGTCCATGTACATATTTTTTATTACGTTAATTATTTTGGGACGGAGTCCAATTTTGTGCAGGACTTTGAATAGGAAGTTATGGTCTACTCTGTCGAAAGCTTTTAGGTTATCTATCATGATTAGGTATCCAGGAATTTGCTTTGTTTTGCAATAGCGGGAGACAGCTTCTAGATTATAATGCGCATCAAACATGGTTCGCCCTGGGAGGGTGCTTTTTTGCGCGTGGCTAATCAGTGTGGTGAGCGGGGTTTCTAGTCGTTTTGCTAAAAGTCTTGCAACCAGTTTGTAGTCGAAATTAAGGTTTGATATAGGTCGCCAATTTGTAAGTAAGTTCTTGTTTCCTTTTTTTTGTAGATTAGTTTCACCCGGGCATATTTGGAACTACACGGAAAACAACCAAAGCTTAGGATGTTGTTTACTATGATTGTCAGCTTTTCTTTGATGGTACTCCAGAAGGTTATGTAGAATTCTTTACTTAACCCGTCTGGGCCAGGGGCTTTGTTATTCTTCATGTCCTTGATTGCAGAAAGGATCTCGTCTTCATTTGCCAGTTTTTCAATCTGCTCATTTTGATTTTGGGTGAGTTGGGTAGTTTCCATCTGGTCAAGATAGTGGTGCTGGTAGGTGTTGTCAGTATCGCACTTTTTGCCCCAAAGATCGCTGTAAAAATCTTCTACTGCTGTTGTTATCTCATCCTCTGTGGTTGCTTGATTTCCCGTTGCGTTTTGGATAGCATCCATTGTTATTTGCTTGGTGCGCATTTTCATTTTATTGTAGAAGTACTTTGATGGCTTTTCCTCTTCTTCTTGATCTTCAATTCCCGCCAAGATTGCTTTGTATTCAATTTTTTTTTCCAAAAGTATGTTGAGCTCTGCTTGGAGTTTCTCGAGTTTTCTTAAGTCAGTGTTTTTGCCCTTGGTTAATATGTTATCTATGTTTTGTCTTATCGTTTTTTCGGTTCTATTGTTTTGTTTTGTTCTTTTTATCGAGTAAGCTATGGTTTGTTTTCTTGTACTCGATTTGAAACTATCCCACCAATCCTGAATCGTTTCGAACTTTTCCAAGTTGATGACGGCCCTGTTGTATGTGTTTTTAATTAGTTCCAAAAACTCTTTTTCTCTATATAACGAGGTGTTGTTTCGCCACATTCCCTTGCCCCACCTTGATTTTTTCAGAGTCCTAAGCTTAATAAGTGGGCAGAGAGCATGATCTGCCACTGTGTTGATAGTGTGCCCTACATGCGTAATTAAAGGATCTATTTCTCGCGAATTATAAATTCTGTCAATTCGTCTGGCTTGTCGTTTTGTATTTGATATATAGGTATAAATTTGTTTGTTTTGGTGGCGCTGGCGAAAGGAATCGGATATTTTATATTTAGTTATGTAGGCATTAAAAATGTTCCCAGCAGCCGTGTGCCATCTAGCGTTCGAATTCAAGGCGTCTCGGCTATCTAGGATCATATTGAAATCACCTACGACCAGAAGGGGATTCTGGTGGTAGATACCTTCTAGAATCTGGACCAAAGCTTTGTAGAATTCTGTTTTGAGTGCGCCGCTTTGGGCTGGGGCATAGACATTTACAAATTCCACATCCATTCCGTCGATATCTATTGCGATACTGCAAGATCTATATTTAATGCGAATAGAATATTTTGCGTCTTTATCCAAGGTGTTCCTGATCATTATAGCGGTCCCTTTCCTAAAATATTTTTGTTCAGGGTCTTGCGCAGTGAGTGTGTTGAGGTAAATGCTATATCCAAGTTTCTCAGCCCACTCTTTCGCTATGCTATATTTAATTTTGTTCACTTCTTGCAGGCAGAGTAGATCCGGTTTTTCGTGCACTACAAATTGGCCTAGTTTGGTTCTGTTGTGGTTAAGCCCATTTACATTTAACGACATTATTTTTATTTCACTCATTTGTATGGTTTAGTTTGGACTCTAATTTGTCAAGGTGTGCAGATACTGTTTAGGCTATTTGCCTTTTTTAGCCGAAGGTTGTTTTAAAGAGGTATATGAGGGGGAGGAGTCTGTTAGGCTCCTGTCCCTTTTATTTACTTGGCTCGTCGAGTGATTTGTCTGGGGGTCCTGGTCTTTCGTATTTTTTCTTTCCGGTATTTGTGAGCCCAGGCAGGCCGGGGCAGACGACGTCTGAGGGGTGTCTGAGAATACCGGATCGTAAGATGTGGCCGAGTCTAGTTCTGGGATCACCAGTGGGAAATGACCTCCGATCTTTGGAGGATGGAATGGAGTGTTCCCTATGGTAGAGGTTGTCTTAAGTTTGGGCCGGCGCGGTATTGCTGGGGGTGGTGGACTTAGGCGAAAGGATTGCTCACTGATGTCAGGGCTGAGTGACCAGTCTTTGGTCTCTTTACTTTCCAGGTCTATGAGCTCGGTTTCAGAGCTGCTCCGCGAGTTGGTTTCGGTGTATTCGACACTTGGTGTGACGTTCTTTTTTGGCGAAGCGACTGTTGGCGTTTTTGAGGGCGATACTTTGGCCTTTATTTGGCGCTTATTCTTATTTGTTTGCGGCCTATTTGTAGTATTAGTTTTGAGCCAAGATCTTATAGAATGTTGGGGGTCATTTTTCTTTTCTGGGCAGTTGAAACTTATGTGACCCTCTTTCCCGCACACGCGGCATCGCTTCATTTTTCTACAGCTGCGAGCCGTGTGACCCGATTCTAGGCAATTGATGCATTTTGGCGTGTAGAGTTCTGTCGGTAGATAAGTCTTGTACCGCGCTCCATCAATGTCCAAAAAGGGCGGAAATTTGGTTTGATCAAAATCATAGAGCCAGGCTGCAACGTATCCGTTGAATAGCGTCGTTCCTCGATGGTAGAGTTTGATTATGTTTTTAATTTTCCCGCAATTTGTCTTAATTAGTGCGTCGATTACTTGTTGTTGTTTGATTTCGTCCGGTACGTCCTTAATACTGATGCGTGTTGGTGGTTTCTTCGGCGGCAAGAATTGGATATTAACATCCCCTACCCTCAATATATTTGTATTGTTTTTTAAAAACTCGTCCCGTTTGGACTTGTCAATATTATTTTCATCAATTTGTCTAAAAGATAGTACCCAAAGCTTGGGCCTAGTCTCATACAAGGCGGTTAGCTCTTGCATGTAATCTTTTGTTGTTACAGAGTTAGTGAGTATCTCAATAAACGTATTTATGTCAATATCTCTGCTCACCTCAGCAGCCACCGAACGTGGTCTATTTCCCTGCAGTTCGTTCTGTCCGGATACAGCGGCGGAGTAGTCCATTGTTTTTCTCGCGGTTGTTATATTCCACAGGTAATATCCAAAGTACAATTTTAATCAGAACAGCGAATTACTTTTATTGTACTTAGTACAACCAAATACTCCACTGTCTAGACTCAATCAACAGCATTTTTCGTCCTACACTACAACACTGTGGCTTGGAAGGCAATTCATTTTTCATTGCGAGCGTTCATATGTACGAACGTACGGGTGTTAAGTCAGCTGGCGTTCGAGATTGCTATCTTTCGCATGCACTGATATACAAGGGTGCGAGTATACGAGAATGGAATGTGTAATAAGGCGATTTTGGCTTTCATGAAACATTTTCACGCATGTTGTCTACGTATTCATAACCATTCTTCAACAACTATAAGCAAGTAAGAATACGGCGTTTACTGGACTCCGTTCTTTTTTAATGTGACACGTTCTGATGGGAATGACAATGTGATGAGAGGAATAATTTTTTAGAAATGTAGGCTGGGTTGTGGCCTGCAGGGCGCCTGTTGCACACCCTCGTTTGACAATTAAACAATCGCTAGATTGTGAGTTTTTTTCACGACTAAGCACAAATACCCGGCGTTCACTGCCCTCCGTTCTTTTTCAATAATGACACGTTCTGAAAAGAACAGCAATTGGATTTTAGCAATGTACCTAAAATACGATCGTCCCTGGGTGGGCTCGAACCACCAACGTTTCGGTTAACAGCCGAACGCGCTAACCGATTGCGCCACAGAGACCGGCGGGCGCCATCGCAACATAAAAAGTTTAAAAAATAACGATCGAGGATATTTACATTTTTATGACCAAATGCCATGCGGGAGGTAATTCAATCAATTTATTTTTGGTCATCTGGAATTAATCAAAACAACAAAGAATGCAGAAAGTTGCATGCGAGGCTAGCACAACCTAAAACAAGAGAGCGATGTTCGAATATACAAACACGAAATCCATAAAAGAGTAGCATCAAATCCTTTACAGTACCTTGAAATGCGGTCCCAAAACCACGAAACGGCGCGCATTTTTAAATTTTGATGGCGTCATCACACAAGAATTTGAAGGGAAAAGCTAATTCCCTAGAGCCCGCTAAAATTTTTAAATTAAATAGAAGTAATAATAACATTCTAGTGACTACAACATTAATCAACCACCGAAAATTCCAAAGCACGGCTTTGTAGTCAAACAGAAACCATTTTTTGCAACTTTACTGGCCCAGCAGTCAATTTTTTCTTTACGCGGAACCCCTAAGGAACCCTATACATTCAAGTAACCCCACTACATGAGTTGCGGAACCCTAGGGTTCCGCGGAACCCCTGTTGAAAGAGCACTGATCTAAAATAAAGTGGTCGTCCCTGGGTGGGCTCGAACCAACAACCTTTCGGTTAACAGCCGAACGCGCTAACCAATTGCGCCACAGAGACCAGCGAAGAAGAGCGTAGCATAAAAAGTTTAAAAAAATAACGATCGAGGATATTTGCATTTTTATGACCAAATGCCATGCGGGAGGTAATTCAATAGATCGCTTTTTCGGTCATCTGGAATTAAGGTTACCATATTTTTTGGACTTCAAAGTGGGACGCCTCCAAAGACACGACCCCTTGGCTGTGACCCTGTAACTTTACAGTTTCCGATTTTACTACATAGGCCTATATTCAAAGCCATCCCGGCTATCTTCATTGACCATATTGTAATCGAGAGTTCATGCGCATATTCTTTGTCTAAATATCGGGATCAGTTCGAAAAATAGAAAGGAATAGACGCTAACGATACAAATGATCCAAATTTAGATTTTTTTATGTACAGCAAAAGGAATAAAGAATAATGAAATAGTCTGCCGTTTTCAAGCGTTGAGAATTTACTTATTTGCTAAATATGCTTTTCTGTAGATAACACCTTCAAAAACACGTTGCTCAATGTTACATTCATGTGAACGTCCGAACAGGACCAATTAGAACTGATTTTACATGTGATACGTTCACTAACAATGTTAGCGGGAACAACGAAACAAACAAAATAACGCATTCACTTACAGTAAGTAGGCTAGCGTTGCGCTACACAGCAACAATAGTAACGAGAACATGTTCGTGTATTGTGCTGGATGGCTGAACGCAAAAGCGGGACTTTTGGCTGATTTGTCGGGACGGCGGGACAAGACGCTAGAAAGCGGGACTGTCCCGCCTAAAGCGGGACGTATGGTAAGCCTATCTGGAATTATTCAAAACAACAAAGAATGCAGAAAGTTGAATGGTTTACCTTCTAATTAACAAATGATATTTGCAGAGTACTTACAAGCCACGAGCAATCATAACGGATAATCGCTACCGATTGAAGATAACAAATGAGTCGTCTGATAAATTGAGTTGCGGGTTTCGAGAAAAGCTTCCTGGGACCTCGACTGGTGATGCTTACTCATTTAACATGGGGCCGGTAGTGTGGTAACCTTTTGGTATTTTTTTCGATTTTGATGACGGTCTGGTCGCATCACTCCGTCCTGTCTATACCAAACTAATTTATTACTTGTTATTATTTTTATTTTTACGATGACTGTTATTTTATTTTGTTTGGTTATTTTGGTTATTTTGGTCTGATAAATTGAGTTGCGGGTTCAGAGAAAAGCTCTCAGAGACCCGTGAGGAAATTTTTTGGTGTCAAGCAATATTTTTAAAGATGGTAAGTTTTGTTTATGCTATTTTTAGCCATAATGACAGCTTAGTCTTTTTTCGCGACTAAGCATAGGTATACGGCTTTTACTAGTCTCCATCCTTTTTCAATGTTCACTCGTTATGACGAGAATGACAATCTGATGAAAGGAATATTTTTCAACAATGTATTCAAAAGACAGTCGTCCCTGGGTGGGCTCGAACCACCAACCTTTCGGTTAACAGCCGAACGCGCTAACCAATTGCGCCACAGAGACCAGCGAAGAAGAGCGTAGCATAAAAAGTTTAAAAAAATAACGATCGAGGATATTTGCATTTTTATGACCAAATGCCATGCGGGGGGTAATTCAATAGATCGCTTTTTCGGTCATCTGGAATTAGGGTTACCATATTTTTTGGACTTCAAAGTGGGACGCCTCCAAAGACACAACCCCTTGGCTGTGACCCTGTAACTTTACAGTTTCCGATTTTACTACATAGGCCTACATTTAAAGCCATCCCAGCTATCTTCATTGACCATATTGTCATCGAGAGTTCATGCGCATATTCTTTGTCTAAATATCGGGTTCAGTTCGAAAAATAGGAAGGAATATACGCTAACGATACAAATGATCCAAATTTAGATTTTTTTTATGTACAGCAAAAGGAATAAAGAATAATGAAATAGTCTGCCGTTTTCAAGCATTGAGAATTTACTTATTTGCCCAATCATGCTTTTCTGTAGATAACACCTTCAAAAACACGTTGCTCAATGTTACATTCATGTGAACGTCCGAACAGGACCAATTAGAATTGATTTTACATGTGATACGTTCACTAACAATGTTAGCGGGAACAACGAAACAAAAAAAATAACGCATTCACTTTCAGTAAGTAGGCTAGCGTTGCGCTACACAGCAACAATAGTAACGAGTACATGTTCGTGTATTGTGCTGGATGGCTGAACGCGAAAGCGGGATTTTTGGCTGACTTGTCGGGACGGCGGGACAAGACGCTAGAAAGCGGGACTGTCCCGCCTAAAGCGGGACGTATGGTAAGCCTATTTGGAATTATTCAAAACAACAAAGAATGCAGAAAGTTGAATGGTTTACCTTCTAATTAACAAATGATATTTGCAGAGTACCTACAAGCCACGAGCAATCATAACGGATAATCGCTACCGATTGAAGATAACAAATGAGTCGTCTGATAAATTGAGTTGCGGGTTCCGAGAAAAGCTTCCTGGGACCTCGACTTGTGATGCTTTCTCATTTAACATGGGGCCGGTAGTGTGGTAACCTTTTGGAATTTTATTCGATTTTGGTGACGGTCTGGTCGCATCACTCCGTCCTGTCTATACCAAACTAATTTATTACTTGGTATTATTTTTACGATGACTGTTATTTTATTTTGGTTGGCGAAAAAATAAATCTTTCTCTAGGCAAAATTTTGTTCATGAAAATGTCCGCGTTGTCGTGTTTTGGAAGGAGGTTTCGACTCTTTCACGAAAGCACACGACGTTACAACTTACAAATGAATGTTGAGTAATTAAACTCGTGCAGAAAGGTAAAGTCCCGTATTTTGAATTCTTTTTTCATCGCGAGTGTTCATATGTACGAACGTGCGAGTGTTAAGTCAGCTGGCGTTCGAGATTGCTATCTTGCGCATGCACTGTAATACAAGGGTGCGAGTATGCGAGAATGGAATGTGTAATAAGGCGATTTTGGCTTTCATGAAACATTTTCACGAATGAGGTCTACATATTCATAACCATTCTTCAACAACTATAAGCAAGTAAGAATACGGCGTTTACTTGAATCCGTTCTTTTTTAATGTGACACGTCTTGATGGGAATGACAATGTGATGAGAGGGATAATTTTTTAGATATGTAGGCTGGGTTGTGGCCCGCATGGCGCCTGTTGCACACCCTCGTTATTTGACAATTAAACAATCGTCAGATTGAAAGTTTTTTCACGACTAAGCACAAATACCCGACGTTCACTGCCCTACGTTCTTTTTCAATAATGACACTTTCTGAAAAGAACGGCAATTGGATTTTAGCAATGTACCTAAAATACAACCGTCCCTGGGTGGGCTCGAACCATCAACCTTTCGGTTAACGGCCGAACGCGCTAACCGATTGCGCCACAGAGGCCGCCGGAGAAACCGGAGCACCGAATGTTTAGGAAAATAACGATAAACGGTATTCACCTTCTAATTTACAAATGATATTTGCAGAGCCTACTTGCAAGCCACGAGCAATCTTAACGGATAATCGCTACCGATTGAAGATAACAAATGAGTCGTCTGATAAATTGAGTTGCGGGTTCCGAGGAAAGCGCTCAAGAGACCCGTGAGGAAACTTTTTGGTGTCAAGCAATATTTTTAAAGATGGTAAGTTTTGTTTATGCTATTTTTAGCCATAATGAAAGCATAGTCTTTTTTCGCGACTAAGCATAGGTATACGCGTTTACTAGTCTCCATCCTTTTTCAATGTTCACT